TCGTACCTTTGTGGCACTGCGCAGGTGATCATAGTAAACCTCCTCGATAGCCTGGAAGTAGATGACGCCCTTCAATTTGCTCTCATGTTTATCTGCGGACAGGAGAAACAGAGATGTCACCAAACCGTTCTCTTAATAAGTATTTGATTGCGATGTATTTGTTTGAAAACCAATTAACTCGAGAAGCGAAAGCGAGTGTGTTCTCCGAAAACAAGCATTTCCAAGTATTTTTTACTGGAAAACTAGTGATTAGCACAATGTTTTGCACAGCGATGGTTCCGAAAACAAATAATCCCCCACTCCCCTGGAGAATAATGATCTGGTAAGCACCGATGTGACCTTGTTACTGTGGTGCAACCCCTTCATTTTCAGTCCGCGCAGAAATAAAGAGCGGGAGCTCCCGCTTTGCCGAGCGCCACGGCTGGGTGATGAGCACGATTTCCTCAGCATTGCGGCAGATTTCATCACCATCAGACAGCATGCGGACGGGCTTCTGGTTATTTGTATGCCCCTAGCTAACCCGAGGCTATCGGAAATCATGGCAGCCACTGTGAGCTTAAGAATTACTAATTATCCGTATCCCCCCACTGCTGGATTCACCCACAATCCACTCTTTGTTCTGCCCTCGTTTCTTTCCCCAACCTCAGGGGGACGAAAGCGTAACGACACGTTTGCCGGGCGGCATTAGCATAGTGCACAGTAAGGAGGATGTTGAAAGGCGACGCTGCGGCACACATACCGGCGTAGTAGGAAAACGTCCTTTTAAGGCGATCAAAGACGAACCAGCGCTTCCTCCAGGATTTGATCTTCCCTCCCATCTTGACAAGATAGCCCTTGCACATCTTTTCGGTAAGAATCACGTGGTAGCACGTGTCCACTCTGTGACCTGAGGACTCGATGTGGGAACGGAGGTCAAACTCCTCTTTGCGAATTGGCAGGTATCGGGTCATCGGGCGGGCCTGGAAATCAACAACGTGTGGTTTATATTTTTGTTATGACATGACGTTTTATTTCCCTATCAATTAATTTATCCAAAATTCCTTTAAAAAAACTGACTTCATAAATAAAACGTTTTGAACTCACATCTTCCACGATGAACGGTTTTAATTTCAGGAAATTCTTTTATATATATTCATTCATTTATTTTAATTTTTTATTTATTTACATTTTATTTCATTTATTTCTCTTTTTTAAGGTGGCAAAAGGTCAAAAATGTCATTGTCTTGAATAACATAATAGAAAAAGGATCATTAATTTCATGTTACTATTCATACTAAAACCTTAATTCTAATAATAATAATAATAATAATTAAAAAATATATATATATATTTTAACAAAACATTGAAAACTTTACTGTATATTAATGTCTGAAAAACGTTTGGCAGCCAGATCAATCAAGTGGACCTTTTTATGACAGTTTAGGTTGTAAAATGTCACTTTCTGTAAGTAAATTTTAATGAAATTATTATATATGGTCATAAGTTTACATACATCTTTCATTTCAATTTAACAAATATTACTAATTTTAACAAAATGTTAATATTTTTCGGTTATATTTTCTTGTGGACTACATGTAAACTTCTGTTACGTTTATGCTATAGCTTATGTAACAGCTTATTCAAGGCAGTACTAAATAACAAGCAATGTTTATGATCCCTCTTACTTTGTTAAAATTATACAATTATTATAAATTTGGTGGTTCCACAAAGCATATGTAAACTTGTCATCGCAAGTGTATTATATATATATACATATATATGTGTGTGTGTGTGTGTGTGTGTGTGTGTGTGTGTGTGTGTGTGTGTGTGTGTTCA